AGATATTTCCATTCATTATAGTCTCATCTCTTAAATGTCCATGGCATCTGTAACCAAGAGCCAATTACCAATGTAGGTCATTAATCATCAGTGTTACTTATTGCCAAGAACTGGAGTGAAGCTGCCTACATTGCTTTCGTTAAATTTCTCTACAAAATGCCACATAATGAATAGTTAGACTTTTAAGAAGAGGCCATTCTTGTGTAGGCTCTGAATTAACTGCACATTAAGCTTCATAAGAAGTTTTTTTCCCAACAAAATGGGACATTTTAAGTAGTTTATTTATAACATTCTTAAGTTTTAGCAATGGAGCATGAATTCAGATATAATAATATTTTTATCTGTCATAAAATATACATTAGACAATTAAAACCATTCACAATTTTTACTATATCAAGAGATCCATTAAGGAAGTTTTTTGAAAAGGCCAATATGTATTAATAAATGCAGCCTGTAATATGGCTAATGAGCTTATATCTGAGGCCTAATCACTATAAAGCATATTTTTTCCAAAATAAATAGAACTTTCCAGATGGAGGAATGGTTTTCGTTTTAAGAAAACTATGTTTAGTCAAATTATCCAGGATTGTAATACTTTCACAGAGCCCCAGAAGACTGAGAAGCACCGAAAAAGGGATGTTATTTGTTCTAAATGAGCATTACAGAATTAGGAAAATGAATTTTATCCACTAATGGGTAGAAACCCTATGAGATAGTCTGGCTCAGAAATAAAAGAGTGCTCTGATAATCAGATGTCCTAAGAAGGAATGCAGTACTTTGGGAAAGAGAAAAAACAAAACTGAGGAAATGGAAGGAGACTGGAGTTTGAGTAGATGAATCCACCAAAAGTTCTCAGTGCAGAAAGTAATGGCTTTTAAGAAAGCAAGGACCTACACATTAATTATTCCAAATCTTAACCAAGCCTGCTATACACAGAGCTGTGGGGATTGAAGGATTCAAGCATGCCCAACAGAGCAACATGATGCAGAAAAAGGACAGTACGCAGGGAAGGCAGAATGCAGAATGCAAACAAAAACTTCAGAGGAAATCATGATTTAGAGCTTTTGAAAACCAAAAAGAAGGCCATGCACGGTGGCTCACACCTGTAATCCCAACACTTTGGGAGGCCAAGGCAGGTGGATCACGAGGTCAAGAGATCGAGACTATCCTGGCCAACATGGTGACACCCTGTCTCTACTAAAAATACAAAAATTAGCCGGGAGTGGTGGCACACACCTGTAGTCCCAGCTACTCAGGAGGCTGAGGCAGGAGAATTGCTTGAACCCAGGAGGCGGAGGTTGCAGTGAGCCAAGATCACACCACTGCACTCCAGCCTGGTGACAGGGTAAGATTCCATCTCAAAAAAATAATAAGAAGAAAGAAAGAAAAATTAAAGATATTTAAGTTCTCCCAGGAACTTACAAGGGGCATTAGGAGCTAAACACCAAATGAGGGACTTAGTCCATTTTTCTTTGCATTTCAGATCACAGTATAAGCACAGAAGATACTTGGGTTACCATTCATCTATCAAAAATTTATTGAGTACCTACTATGTGACAGCCACTGTTCCAGGGTTTGAAGATAAGGGAAAGCAATGGGCCAGTGTGGCTGAAGCAGAGTGAGTGGGGAGTATGAGGAAATGAGACAAGAAAGCTAACATGAACAGAATGAAGGGCCTGGCTGGCCACTGCAAGGGCCGTGACTGGAACTTTGAGTAAGACGGAAAATGATCACAGGATTTTGAGTGGAGGGGTAACATGATCTGACTTAACATTTTAACAGACCTCTGTCGAAGGTGTTAAAAAAATAATCTAACAGGAGCAAGAGGGAAAGAGGAAGACCAGTTTGAAGACCAGTAGAGTCATCCAGGAGAGAGATGGTGGCCATGACACAGAAGCTCACAGAGAAGATAGTAAGAAGTGATGGAGTATGAATATATTCTGAAGGTAAAGGTGACAACATTTGCTGACAAACCATATGTGAGGTGCAAGAGAAAAAGAAGGTCCAAGGAAGATTCCCAGGTTTTTAGCTGCACATCTGTAAAAGTGGAAATCAATTCTGACTTTCAAATCAGAGATATTTTTACCCTGCCTTTAAACTCTAGAGAGAGACAGAAAAAAATGTTTGAGTGGCCACATTAGAATATGCAAGTTTTGGCCACATTAAGCCTGTTTCCTTCTCCATTCTTACCCTGAAACATTAAAAGAAAGGCATTTTGAGCCTGCTAAAAGTTATACCTCAACAGTTTTTAGTAGAATTTGAACGGCAAATAGTAACACTTCGTGCATGTTCTCATTCAGTATAACTAACTTAGTGCTATGGTTTAAGAGTGTTCACCAAAGTTTATGTGTTGGAGACTTAATCCCCAGTGCAGCAGTGTTCGGAAGCTGGACTTTTTAGAGGTAACTGACTCATGAGGGTAGAGCCCTTATGACTGGATTCATGCTGTTACTGAAGAAGTGGGTTCCTGATAAAAGAATGAGTTCAACCCTCTCTGTTGTGCATGCTCTGTTGCCCTTCCACCTTCCACCATGGGATGATGCAGCAAGAAAGCACTCACCAGATGCCACACCCTCAATGTTGGACTTCCCAGCTATAAGAAATAAGTCTCTGTTCTTTATAAATATCTCAGTCTTGGATATTCAGTTATAGCAGCACAAAATGGATAAAGACCCTTAGCTTGTTTTGATTTTAAATAACTTTTGAACATACTTTCATTATTTGCAGTTCTCTCATTAAGAGGAAAATTGCCTTTATTTTAAAACAGTCTGGTATATAGAATACTATGTAGTCATATGAAAGAATGAATCATATCCTTTGCAGCAACATGGATGCAGCTAGAAGCCATTATCCTAAACAAGTTAATACAGGAACAGAAAACCAAATATCACACGTTCTCATTCATAAGTAAGAGCTAAACATTGAGTAGTTATAGACATAAAAGTAAGAACAGTAGACACTGGGGACTACTACAGGTGGGAGGGGGAGGGAGGGCAGGTGCTGAAAAACGAACTGTTGTATACTATGCTTACTACCTGGGTGACAGGATCAATCATACAACCAAACCTCAGCCTCATACAATATACCCAAGTAACAAACCTGCACATGTACCCCCCTGAATCTAAAATACAAGCTGAAATTATAAAAGGTAAATAAATAATGAAAAGCAAATGTGTGGCATAACTTTAAAAAAAAAGTCTGTATACATTTATGAGTTCCTTGGACTATGATTAACATGGTTCTGAAAATATGTCCATATTGCTGAGTCTTCATTAATCCTGCAATGGAGAAAGAAAGAGAGGAGAAAATGGGAAATAGGAGATTACAAGTAGTTTGGGCCATGAAAGGCCACCCAAGACATACTAGTCTCTGGGCCTGCTTTCCAAGTTGCAAACTTAAAAACATATCACAGGACATGGTGAGATGAGGAAATGTCTTCCTCACTTTTTACATAAAACCATTCAATGAAAGTACTTAGACATTACCGATGTTTGGAGTATATTTTTACTAAGCAGTAAAAGTAAAATGTGGTCAGACAAAAAAGTTGTGATTGCTTGCCAGTTTCAAGCTAACGAGCTCTAGGACTTGCTTCCTTTTCAAAATATATGGCCATTTTAGCCACTGCTAAATCCAACAGCTCCAAGATGATTGTCCACAGAATCACGCACTGCTGTGCTTATTCCCTTCCTCATGAGGGTGTGTGAAGGTTTCCAACCATGCAGAGACTTCAGTGATGTTGCTATGCCAGCTGCAGCCCCAATTTCATGTGCTAGAGGAAGATAGGACTGACCAGTCCTAAACTTTATTAGTGATCTTGTTTCTATTATTTAATTTCTGTATTCCTTGCACCACTGTTGCACAAATGCTTATATTTACTTTCCACATTACTCTTAAACTTCTTGGTTCATAGACCTTTCAGGCAGTTTGTGGAAGTCTGAGTCCTTCTCAAATATCATGTTTTAAAATTTATTAGTGTAAAATGCATAATTAAAGGGAAATTGGTCACATGGAACTGTTCTCTCCACACTCCCCTTGGGGATCCATGGACAAAGAAGTGGGTTCACAAGGATTTCTTGTTAGTAATCATGGAAATCCATTTCAAATTACTTATATCTTAAATCTCAGTTTTATCTCAAATAATCTTACAGGAAATAAGAATGTTCATCAGAGAATTTACATGAGATGAGACTTAATACAATTTGACATGCTGATGAGGGGGCAGTTACATTGCTTGATGCCCCCTGACAAACCAAACCACAGACAGTTCCCGTCGACCACCCGCAACAAGTTCATAATCCACAAGCCCAGCTCACAGACCCTGAGGTGAGTACAAGGCACACTCTTGCCTGCATCCAGTCCATCATTCTTGACTGCTTTTTTCTAGCCACATACTTATGCTCAAATAGTAGTATCATTTGGAATATCAATAGTATGGCCAAGGGAATTACAGGAGCTTCTGAGGCATTTTTACTATGCAGTAGGGCCCAGGGCCTCCAGGGGTTTTATAAGTTTGAATGTAGAATGGCCTGGAACATAGTAGAGTTGCAATAATTATTTTTTAATAACAAATGATGAATGTATAACCTTTTACATCAAAAAAGACAGTCACACATTTTACTTTAATATACAACAACCTGTGCTGTCTATTGAACTGGCTCAAACAATCTACTGTTATAGTTACTGGGTTACTGGTACTTTTTTTTTTTTTGACACAGAGTCTGGAGTGCAGTGGCTCTATCTCAGCTCACTGCAACCTCCGCCTCTCAGATTCAAGCAATTCTCCTGCCTCAGCCTCCCAAGTAGCTGGGACTACGGGTCCATGCCATCACACCCAGCTAATTTTTTGGGATTTCACCATGTTAGTCGGGATGGTCTCCATCTCCTGACCTCATGATCTGCCCAACTCAGCCTCCCAAAGTGCTGGGATTACAGGCATGAGCCACTGAGCCCAGCCAGTTGCTGGTACTTTTAAAAAATCAGATCTAGCTCTAGGTCCTTACCTGATCTGTGCACCATTTCTCATTAATCGTTCTTAAAGAAAGTCTGCAGCTTCCAAGACAAAAGAAGTTTCCAATTTCTGGTTGGTGTCACAGGGTCTAATAAAATTCAAAAAGATTTCAAATTTCCAGGATTGGTATGTTTAGACATTTTTAATTTCCTCTAGCTTTGTAGTCTGTCAGAGATAAGCAGAAGAAAGGGAAGAGGAAGATCTCCAACAGAGGAATAAAAATACAACAGAAATTAGGATTCTCCTCTGCAGCGAGTATGACCCGTGTAATTAAAAGAAGGAACAAGAAATACCTTCTTTTATGTAAATTATGAGCATGACATATGAGTTATTTTTCATGGATCACCCAAACTGGATCTGATCCATAATTATGAGTCCTAACATAAACCTGTGTACTACATAAACCTAACCTAAAATGCTGCTATTTAATAGGTTGGTTTTTAAAAATTCATTAAAAAACCCCAGTTCTATCTCCTGAGATGGATTTTAAGTGCTCTTTAATTAGAAGCAGGAAGGTGATTTAAATTTTAGATATAAATAATTATTAAATTCCTTTCCAAAGTATAAGTCTATGGCATTCTTCTTTGCTTTTAAAATAAAACGTAACTGATTGAATTCCACTAAATTTTATTAGATCTTCCCTGAAAAAGAAAAAAAAAATGTTTTTTTTAAGATTTTTAAATTTCCAAAATTCTAAAAAGAAAAAGTATTATAGAATTGCAGTTGGAATTCAATTGAGGATTATTTTCTATTCATTCAAGGAAATGGGTTTTAATAAATACCAATTTGCCCTTTCAAAATACACTGATTAACACATATTATTAACAGTCTACTTTTTGTGTTGGATGCTTTTGGTTACAAATAATGGAAAATCCCACCTAGAGTGCTTTAAACACAGGATACTTCTTGTGTTTAACAAAAGGCCAGAAGAGGCTGTCTCATGGTTGCTCCATAATGACCTGGGGACCCACTTTCAAACTGAAGCTCAGCGTTTCATACTCAGTTTTGTCTCAGTCAGTTGGCTAATGGAGCACAGGCCTCAAGTTCTCACATAACAAAGCCCAACACCAAATAGAACTCTTCCTCCAATCCCTCTCTCTCTTCAAGGTGAAAAGCCTCTCCTAGAAGCCCCAGAGGTCTCCCTGCTACATATCATTGGCCAGAAGTGAATTTCATATTTCAAAATCAGTCACGGCAATGGAAAATAAGATTGCCACAATAGTACAAAGCAATCAGGACTAATTCTCTGGCCCTGGGTACGCTGTGACTCTAATATCCTCAGGATTCTATGGGCAACGAAAGAGTAAGGAAACCCAACAGCTTCTGCCATGCATAACATGTGCAGAGTATTACATACATACTTTTAAACCTTTTTTTAAAAAAAGATGCATATACTTACAACTTATAAATGAAGAAACAGGCTTTAAGAAACCCCATAATTTGCCAAGGTCACACTGTTCATGAGCAGCCAAGTCTGAACCGAGGCTTGCCTGGCTCCGCAGCCTCTCTCTGAGCCATGCAGTCACTGATTCTACCATACCTAGAAGAAAACAATGAGCCAGGCTACTGAGGCTTGCAAGCCACTCATCTCAGGCTCTGTTTGCCGAGACATGATGAGAGTTTCAAACATATTTTCTTAGGAAGAGATGCTCATGTGTATCTTCTGTATATCCTCCACAAACGAGTATGTTTTGGTTCAAAGACAAACTTTCCCTCAAGTTGAGATGACAGGGACCATCAGTTCCACAGAAGGAAAAATATTACCCCTTCTAGTCTCTTCATAAACGGGTGCCGAGACCAGCATAGGTCATATGTCATTGGTGGCATCTTTTTGATGATTTGAGAGCCTCATAATTGTTTATTGACTCATACCCAGCTTCACTTCACTTCTGCTTCAGGAGAAACTATTTTTTCTATAATTTAGTGGTAAATGACTTTTGAATAATGAGAACTTGGAGGGAGGAAAGAGGAATTTATATGAAACGAGGCAAATAATTGAAGATGTTCATAATGCTAGTCATTTTTCTCCAGAAATAGCACCTGCTGAATTCCCTGTCTGGTTTTTTTTTCAGGTAGGAAAAAAACTAATAAAAAACAAGGCTCTGTGTTATCTTAAGATCTTGATGCTTAGGTAGTAAGTGGCAGAGCAGCTGCTACTCTCATAAAATTCGACAGTAGCAAAATTTAATGTTCTCGACAAGCTGCTAATTATATTTTTTGTTGATATATTCTTACTAAAATTTCGTATTCTTTGTCTTATTTTATATTTGCAATCTTCCATCATGAAAACATATATATACTTTTTATAAAGTATATATTTTTTATATATAAAGTATGTATACTTTATATATGTATACTTTATATATAGTATGTATATACTTTTTGCATATATATACTCTTAATATATACAAGTATATATAATTACATATAAATATATATAATAAAATACATAAGTACAGAGAGATGTACTTTTATATGTACATATATATATACACCCACCTTTCTAAGCTTTTAATACATTGTTTTAAAGTAAATGTTTACTTTAAAAACACTTTCAATCCCAAATGCATTTAATGAAACTATAATTATATTGATAAGTGAATAGAAGCGAAAAAGAAATGGCCCTTCGGGGTCATATTCCTAGCGTTGCTTTTAACTTGCCAATTGATGTGAATTTTGGTAATAGCTCTTTACTTTGTTTTTCCTTCTTTTTTAAATAGAACTTGAAAAACTCTCTAAGAAAATGGTGTGTTTTGGTATCGGTATCACAAGAAGAGAGCAAAGGAAACGTGTCATGTATATTTTACTTTAAGTAGCCACAGTTCACCTGTCCCTTTACCTCTCGTTTTTGCCTGCAAAAATATAAAAACAGCTCCGAGAGATGGAGTTAAGAATGGGGTAAGTTTCCAGTGTTTCTGGGAAGCAAGGAAAGAACTGAGCAATCTGCAACCTGAAATTATGCAAAATACAAATTCAGTTTGTCTGTAATGTACACGCTCCATGCTCGTTACAGTATCTCCCAAGAAAGCCTTTTGGAGTGAGAGTTTCATGTTGGATGTGGTAGCTAAGCAAATGTTGTCAATTCTTCCTAATTTTATATTTTTAGTTGCGCCTATCAGTTTAGAAATGTGCCTTTAAATGCTTTAAATAGTGCTGATCATTAATTATAGGTAGTTGTGGAAAAAAATAAGTATCCGTGCTCTGAACATTTAAAATATCCCTTCAAACATAATAAGCACAGTTCTACTTGGCCCATAGAAATGCCTTATCTTTTAGAACTTGATAGTTTACAGAGTACAGCGCCAGGCACGGTGGCTCACAACTGTAATCCCAGCACTTTGGAAGGCTGAGGTGGGTGGATCATGAGGTCAGGAGTTCAAGACCAGCCTGGCCAAGATGCTGAAACCCTGTCTCTACTGCAAATACAAAAATTAGCCAGGTGTGGGGGCATACACCTGTAATCCCAGCTACTCAGGAGGCTGTGGCAGGAGAATCTCTTGAACTCAGGTGGCAGAGATTGCAGTAAGCAGAGATTGCGCCACTGTACTCCAGCCTGGGCGACAGAGCAAGACTCCATCTCTAAATAAATAAATAAATAAATAGTTCACAGAGTACTGTGTGCTACATATCTCATTTGTTATCACATATCCCCATCTTCTTAGGTACACAGGTGCACCTAATTATTCCTGTTCCACAGGTAAAGGTGGGGTTCCAGGATACAAAGTAATGTCACATGGATTGTAGGGGAGCTCAGAAAAAAAAAATGGGTCATGGACCTAAAGTTAGACATTCCAGCTATTTTACGAGGTATACGGTTAAAAAAAAAATGGCTGGCAAAATGTCTTAAGAGAAATACAGGTAAAAAATCGAATAGCTTCATTCTGGTTTGTTTATACATAAGACCTACAAAAGGCAGCTTCAAAAGGCAGCAAAAAAGCTTTCTTCAGTGTGTGCATGATACTGCTGCCAAACCCTGATGCAGTTGGAATTCAGAGAACTTCAGCACTAAGACTAGCCCCTTCCTTTAATGGTGCTGTTCTCTCCTACTGATATTTTTAGTTTTATTTTTTCAATATCTTAACATCTTTATCAAAAACCTGTTGCCATTTTCTATATCTAGAAATGCAAAGTGAAAGACTATATTAACATTAACTTGGCCAAATTCTTATTGCTGCCAACGAAAAGCCTGTTATATACTGGCTGGTTTAAATGTAGACTATGCAAATTATTCACAATGTAGAAAGCATGATTATTGCTTTTCATAGTCTTATTTTAATGATGAGGACTTTCTTGTGCCTCTTCAAGATTTTTAACTATGTATTAATATACTCTAACTTTTCCATATGGATGGTTATATACTTTGAAAATCAGCTCAGCATCACCCTGGTTCATGGGAGTTGTTAGTATAATATTTTGACATTGTTGTAAAAACAAACTAGGAAAAAATAGTTTGGCAGTTCTTCAAAATATTGAACACAGGTTTACCATATGACCTGACAATTTCACTTCCAAATATATACCCATGAGAAATTAAAATGTATGTGCAGTGCACACAAAAACTTTCACACAATATTTATAACAGCACTATTTATAATAGCCAAAAAATTAAAACAGCCTATGTGATTTTCAACTCATTAACAGATGAACAAAATGTGGAGCGTTTGCACAATAAAATACTATTTGGCAATAAAAAAATGAAATACAGATTATCATTTTAACATGGAAGTGTTACAACATTATGCCAAGCGAAAGAAGCTAGTCACAAAACACCGCCTCTCAAATGATTTCATTTGTATGTAACGTCCAGAATAGGAAAATCCATCAGGACAGATAGCAGACCAGTGCTTGCCTAGGACGAGGGTGGAGGCAGGCCTTTAGGGGTAAATAGGAAGTGACTGGTAGTGGGGAAAGGTTTTCTTTTGGGCATTTTGACATGTTCTATAATGTGGTGATAACTCCATAACTCTGAGTAGGTTTGTACTAGTTCGTTCTCACATTGCTATAATGAAGTACCTGAGACTGGGTAATTTACAAAGAAAATAAGTTTAATTGACTCATAGTTCCACAGGCTGTAGAGGAAGCATGGCTGAGGACTTACTTACAATCATGGTGGAAGGCAAAGGGGAAGCAAGCATCCTCCATGACTGGAGCAGGAGGAAGAGACCAAAGGGGGAAGTGTTACACACTTTTAAACAACCGGATCTCATGAGAACTCACTCACTATCAGGAGAGCAGCAAGGGAGAATCGGTCCCCATGATCCAATCACCTCCCACCAGTCCTCCAACACCGAGGACTACAATTTGACATGAGATTTGGGTGGGGACACAAATCCAAACAACAGCAACACTAAAAAGCAGTCCAGTTCTGTACATATTAAATGAGTGAATTACCTCAATAAAAACAAAGTGCCTACTATACTTCTCTCAGGCTTTCTAATTTGATATTCAGGATTGGCTAAGTCAAAAGACCTCGATTCAGATCCTGGGTGACTGAGCAGTGTGTAGGCAATCACTTATCTCTCTGCTGTTACTGTTGCTGCTTCCTCCTTTTACACAAAGCAAGGTTTCCACTAGCTGATTTAAGATCAGTTCTAACGCTATGAACTGGGATTATTTGGATCTCTTCTTCCATAAAGGCAGAATAAGAAAAATGCTTTGTAATTACACATTACTTTGCCTGCCTTTTACTAGAATTCTCAGACATCGTGACTGAGGGATACGCAATTGCTAAGGGCAGATTTCCAGCTGAGAAAAACTTGAGCTCACATTAATCATGTGACTCAGAGTCCAGATGTGTGTTCACCAACAGGCTTGCAAAATACTCAAAAGCTTCACATTTGTAAAATCTACTCTGACATATACCTGATTACTCCTTATCTAATGTCAGCAGACTTTAAAGAATCTATAGACTTATGGAACTTGAGTTGGAAATATATGTCCTGTTCTATAATACCTTTATGTATTCCCTAGACTGCAGATTCTATACTTTTTTGTATATTTGCTAAAATATAAAACCCATTGTCATTTAAGTAAATAAATATTTCATTTGAGATATCACATGCTCATTCTGATTATTTAAAAGGTGAAGGGAAAATATGTACCTCTGGCTGTGTGTTTCAGCTTATTATAAGTTAGCAATTTCCTTAGTTCCCTGCTCCCACCTTCATCCCATCCTTTTATTCCAAAGCAAAAAGAAGTCTAGAAACTGACCGAAAACAGAAAGGATGTGTTAAATGAGTACCAGTCTAGTTACCCCTGCTCCTACCACCACCACACACAAACACACACAAATCATTAAAATAAGACAGTCTATGTGTAACAATCTGAAAGGTATACAAATGTATTCATGACACTAATATTTGTAAATGCTCATAGCAGGCATTTATCTTAATACACATGAGACCCAACTCTACAGGTGAAAAGGCTAGATAAGACAAGGCCAGGTGTACTTTCTCTAATCCTCTACAAGGAATGTACCCATTCACTTTTGAGAGAGGAAAACAGGACCGATAGGGAAAGAACCTGCCTTTTTGAGG